TCGAATTCGCATGAATTTCATCGGATTATCAAAGTGAAAAAGTCCTCCTATTCACTGAGGATTAGAATTATGATAGCGTGTCTTCGGATCACCCTCAGGGGTGATTCTCAGACCGTTGCCAATAGCCAATTATGCAATCCCAAGTGCAATGCTAATTACATACTACGATTCCATATGTGTTTCCCCCAGGTTAAGAAGGATTACAAATTAAAGGAGGCAAGAAAAGGAACAAAATTAATCAATTTCTAAAAATCGGTTAGATTTTTCAGAATTTACCTTTTAGTCAAGTACAATGTTCGTTGAAATTCATTACGTAGATTACTTGGTTCACCCAATCCTTTGTATATAATCCAGCATCTCACAGTCACTTCACAAAAAATAGTAATGAGTTTTTTGTGCTAAATTTTTACTTTTTTTAGGAGCTCCTTGTAATTTGCTCTAAGTAAATGTCGACGCTTAACTGTCATTTTTTGAATTAAATTGCGTTTCCAATTCTATGTCATACCACTCTTTCAGTGATTTGCACTTGCAAAAACTATTTATAGCTCAAAAGTTTGAGCTTTATGACACACATATTGGATATTATTTTCTTAAATACCCTTTGCAAAGTCAAAAAATTAGATTTACTTACCGCTTTAATTTACTTAACATTCAACTGCCATTTCTCAAAAGCAATGCATCGAGCAAAAATATAATTCAGCTGTCAAACACAAGGTATATGTTACCATTCCAATCATTTAAAACATTAAAATTTGGGGAAAATATTTTTGTTTTTTAAATTTAGGAGATGTGCTGCAAATTAATGATTCAAACTTTTTCTTGTTACCTTCTATAACTTTAGAATACTATCCATGTTTTCCTAGTAACAAAGTTTAACATTGTAATATCATTTTTGAAAAATTAAAACTTTATTGCAAAGTATATGGCAACTCATACAAAAGTAACATTATTAGAAAACTTTAAAGTCATAAAAATTCATCACCGTGCAATTTTTCAATATTCATTTTTTGAAGAACCACTTACACATTAAATGCCACTTATTCCTTTACATTAAATTTAATATCCTGCAGGAATAACATCTGGAAAATTCCTTTTCAAAACATTCCTGGTCCAGCCTTCAAGCGTTTCAGAATGTCATCCGATTATGTCAGTTTAAAAATCTAAACATATTTATTTTGTTTTAGACATTTAGAAATCTCAGGAGAAATTAGAAGAACAGATCACTAGAGTATACTATCATCAGCCATTAAGATGTTGGCAGTGATAACAGATTCTTGGCTTTAAACAAAGCCAGCATCCAAATATTTAGTGAACATTAATAGCATTTTTGAGGTTGCGTCATTTGGTTTGTTTCAAGAACCATTTAATTGTCTTGCTTGTTCTTTTATTTGCTATTTTTATTTTAGTGTGTAAAATAATTTATTTGAATCTAAAATGGAAGCATAAGAGTAAAATAAGCGTTTCTTTTTCAATGTCAGATAGGAACTGCTAAATAGACAAATTTTCTTTTCCTCCTTTATAATCATCAGCCATCAAACTTTTGGCAACAAATGTAGATGCTTGGCGTTTAACAGCAATCAAAATCATTTATCAAAATATTTTGCGAACGCGGATAAGATTTTTGTTGGTACGACATTTATTGTTCGAGCATTATGACTTTTTGAATTGCCAAATGCTCTTTATTTTTGCTGAATATTCAGCAAAGACAACGCGCAATCTTGCACAAAACCAAAGGCAAGCTGAAAAATATTTCAGATTGAATTCCGGTAAAAAGTACCGGCACTCAGAGTACCAGTACTTTTTACAGCAAAATCCTCTTTTACCAGAACATGTTAAGAAACAAAAAATCTAGTGTACCGTAAATTTTACAGTAATAATTAACGTAAATTCACTGAATCACTGCAATTAAATAAGTATCACTGTAAAAATTACGATATAATATTTTACGGTAAAAATGGATTTTTCCTATGATGCACCCAAACCTATGAGGCACCCTATGATGGAATATGTTTATACCGTAATTTGATCCGGAATTTTTTAATGTGCATATACAAACACTATTAAAAAATTTAAAATAATTTATATTTTTTATCCGGAGAAAATACTGCTGACTTCGTATTATTTCAAATTATAGAAATAAGTAACTATAAACAAAAACAAAGACCAGAATTTTTAAGAGAGCTTTCAATTTACTATTTTATTTAAATGCCATCCAAGTGCCCTCTTGATACTTGGATTCTTGAGTAAAGAACGTAAAAAAATCTTCCAATGAAACTCGGTTTTCATTATTTAATTGAGCTGTAAGCTAGCACTATTTTTTTTGAGTAACTAATTAGAAAATGAATCTGCAGATTAAATTGTAACAATGCTTGATGATATTTCTATGATAAAAATTCATTTTTCATGCATCCCTCTCGAACGTTTTAAAACTTTTCCTGTGAAATTCTAATCAACAAAATTTTCTCGTTTTCTAATATTTTTTAAGGAATTTTAGAATCGGGGTGGGGGGCTAATGTTATCCCTTACACCCGTTGTTAGAACTTCAGGATCCTAGTTGGAGTTTTGGAGTTATAAGCCACACAAAGACAGAAATATACAAAAGTTTTCTTTAGTAACTGTAAAAGATATACATCCAAAGCTTATTAACTGCAAATAAAAAAAATTTAAAAAATGAACCATTGAGTTCCAGTTTGTAAAATTCGGAACATTAAATCATAAGTCATTCTGAATGTTTTCTTTTTGCTCACGGTACATGAAAAAATATTTAATACAAAGGTTTATAATGTACTTAAAAAAATTAAATTTAGAAAGGCATGTTCTTGCCCATAGTCTTAAAAAATTTGATTACATGACTTTTTTGTAGTCTGCAGTAATAGTCTGCATAAACTCTATCAATATTTAATATTTTCTTGTTTGTAATACTTAATGCTTCAGATTTAAAGTAAAAGTGATGTAGATATGATGTTGCTAATAACATTGTTTTCATATGATAATAATAATTACAATCACATGTTTTCAATAACATGCAATTGAAAAGGCATAATTCAGCAAGTACTTTGTAGAGTAACATATTCAGTAGATCATGTAAATCTTCTGAACTTTTTTCGAGCCCTTGTACTGCATTATCAACATAATTAATTCAATTTGAAATGGGACATAAAAGGAATAATAATTATTTTCTTTTGATTTTTTCTGAACTAATTGTTTTTAACGGATAAAGGGTTATGTTAAGGGTTAAGGGTTAGGGCTATTTTGAATAGAATGCAAGATAAGTCTTATATTCTCTTTGTATGAAATTTGAGTGCTTCTTTATATACCAGATTATTTTTTACGTATATATATNATATATATATTTAAGAATTTTAAAATAATTTTTTGCAAAACTAATGAGTGGAATGAAGTTTGAATAATTTATATTACAGATATTTCACTTTAATTGATCTTCATGACGGTGAAAAATAAAGTTAGACTTTGATGCTATTTTTTTTTTCAAAAATAAGGGAATATATTTAAAAATAATTTAAATAAAAAAATTTATGCATATTTTAAATCCTGTGCCAAAAGCTTTTTAATAGAAACTGAAATATCAGTACTTTTATTAAAAACAAATACAACATTTAGCTAAGTAAAGATTGTGCAATTTTTAATTGTTTCACAAATTAGAAACATAACTATTTTCATGTTATTTTTTTTTAAATGCATTTTAGAAAATTTGTGTATAGTCTTGCAACTTGTGTATTCTTAAAAGTTTTTATCCTTTTGCAATGCTGATATTTTTTAAACACTTAAATGCTAAAATTTATACTCTTGAATATACATTAGATTTAAATATTAAAGTATTAAAAAAAGAACTACATTAAAATAAATTATTTCTTATCAAACAATGTGCTTTTTAAGGATTTAAACTAAACATATCTTAAAATCCTTCAAAAAACATGAAAACTGCCCTCTTACTCTAGACAAATTTAAATCAATAAAACTTTATTTTCTTCCGAATACTCTTTTTTTTCATTTTACTACACACTACTTACTTTTAACTTAATTACTAACTTATATGCCTTTAATTATTAAACAAAAATGAAAATAATTTTGCAATTGAACAGTTTTTTAATAAATTACTCGAAATTTTCTATACTTCTAAATTTTTATTTATTAATCCACTTTAATTGCTTTATAAGGACTTATAAATTTATAATGAGAATTACATTATCGATTTATTTTTATTAAACAGTTTGCGAACATAGAAATCAAAATCATAATTCGAGCAACCAGAGAACTATATGTAGAGATGTTTCAGTCCCAGAAATTCTACGATCGATATCATGAAATTAATTTTAAACCTATGTCGTCTTTACGTCAAAAGTGTTGCACTGCCAAGCAATTATAATAAGTAAACAGTTTTAAAAGTGAGCATTAATTGACGTTTAAAAAAAAAGTGCCAGCAAAGCTGGCGAAAGAGTAGAAACATCGATGTAGGAATTGGCGGAGTAGTTGCTTTCTTTCCCCCTTTGATCCGGCAACCCTGATTCTGGGGGTAAATTCGTCGACAAAATCCTCATCAGTGCGAGCAACGGATCCCATCGGAAAGGGATGCGCCGATGTAGGAGTCGGTGGAAAAAACCCCTGCTGCGGCAGGAGGATAGTTATCCTACATCCCGGATATCCGGCACAATCGTTAGCCGGACTCAATCAAACCGGGATTTTAGGCTTTTTACATAGTTAAACAATTGAACTTTTTAAGAACATCAGTGAAGGGTTTATAAACAGTGGTGATAACGACCTTCCACCATTTCGAAACTCCACCTGGTCGAGAAGTGGGGGGTCACCCCCGTCCTCCGGCCCCGGCGGGCCCCATTTTTGGCACCGCCGCCACCGGCTGTAGCCCACCTGAGAAGAGCAAGTAGTGGAGGGGGTGGTGAAGGAAATAAAAACTGGTTCGGAAGTCGCGACGAATTAGTTATTAAACAAACTGTATCCTCATCTTCTCTTCCTTTCTCCAGGTCCCTGCCGAAGCTGCACGGCGAAGATGGAGGCGGTGGAGGAGGCATCACCGAGGGTGGAGGAGTGGGCGGCGCCCAGCTGCTATCATTGCCGCCCCTCTGCAACTTCGAGCCCATCCCACACGACCACGACTATTGCGAACGGGTTGTGATCAACGTGAGTGGTCTTCGGTTCGAGACCCAGCTGAGGACGCTGAACCAGTTCCCTGATACCCTGTTGGGGGACCCGGCTCGGCGTATCCGCTATTTCGACCCGCTGAGGAATGAGTACTTCTTTGATAGGAATCGCCCTTCCTTCGACGCAATCCTCTATTACTATCAAAGCGGAGGACGTCTCCGAAGGCCTGTAAACGTCCCACTCGACGTTTTTGCTGAAGAAATCAAGTTTTATGAACTCGGAGAGATGGCCTTCAACAAGTTCCGCGAAGACGAGGGGTTCATCAAAGAGGAGGAGAGACCCTTGCCCAAGCAGGAGCTTCAGCGCAAGCTCTGGCTTCTATTCGAGTACCCCGAGAGCTCACAGGGAGCTCGTGTGATCGCCATCGTGTCCGTGGTAGTGATTCTGTTATCGATATTCATATTCTGTCTGGAGACGTTGCCCGAGTTCAAGCATTACCGCCTCTTTAACACAACTAACAACATGACACGTGTAATAGAGGACGAAGTGCCGCGTACCACAGACCCTTTCTTCATCATCGAGACGTGCTGCATCATTTGGTTCACTTTCGAATTGCTCGTTAGGTTCCTAGCGTGTCCCTCCAAAATGGCGTTCTGCAAGGACGCCATGAACAGTATAGACCTGATGGCCATCATCCCTTATTTCATTACATTGGCCACCGTAGTGTCTGGTCAGCGGCCACAAGAGAGGCCCATCAACGAGAGGGGCAACAACCAGGCCATGTCGCTGGCCATACTCAGGGTTATCCGTCTTGTGCGGGTGTTCCGGATCTTCAAACTTTCCCGGCACTCTAAAGGCTTACAGATATTAGGCCGGACTCTAAAGGCCAGTATGCGAGAACTGGGCTTGCTCATTTTCTTCCTTTTCATCGGCGTCATCCTCTTCTCGAGTGCCGTCTATTACGCTGAGGCGGACTCTGAACGCTCTTTCTTCAAGAGCATTCCCGACGCGTTCTGGTGGGCAGTTGTCACCATGACGACTGTCGGATACGGGGACATGCGACCCGTCGGGGTCTGGGGCAAGCTGGTGGGCTCGCTATGTGCCATCGCTGGCGTGCTCACCATCGCCCTGCCAGTTCCCGTCATAGTCTCCAACTTCAACTACTTCTACCACCGGGAGACGGATCAGGAGGAGATGCAGTCGCAGAACTTCAATCATGTAACTAGCTGCCCGTACTTGCCCGGTACGGTGGGCGCCAAGCTCAAGCGCGATTCTGTCAGCGAGTCTGCCTCAGACATCATGGAATTGGAGGAAGGCATGCTGCTCAGTGTCGAGAATCATCAACACCAGATGCTCCTCAACTATCACCAACAGCAGAAAAAGCCCAACTGCAATCCCCTTCACAATAACAACGTGAATGCCGTCTCCATTGAAACCGACGTCTGAAGTAGTGCTTGGTTGGCAGCTGCGCAAATGTCCTCCTACAGAGCAGCCTTTATATACACGTATCCTTTCTTCTTCTTTTTTTAACCCATTACATGCTTTCATTATGGATTTAAACGCGGGTAAGTCACATGCATGTTTTACTTTCGTCTTGCATATCTTTTCTCATTTTTCTTAAGTTCTACTTTTGAAAACCATACCAGTACTTCAAACCATATTATCATTTAAATTTGCTTAATAAGGTGTAACTTTAAGCCAATGTATCGTGCAATTCATTTTGAGAACTAACTTCCAAGGAAATATGGCTTAACTTAACACCTTAAATATGCAGAAAATTTGTATGATAATACAGTTTAATCTGAACCAATATTTTTTATATTATAGTAGATATAGATTTTTAAGCTCTCATTTCATTTATTATATAATTGCATCACAAAACTCAGGTATAGCATGATACCTTAATGTATTTTTCCCATCAATATAAGCATTATTTATATTTAGTTTATGTAAATAAATGAGTATATATACATTTAATTTTGAAATCTCCCTATGACATGGTAATTGTAAATACTCAAAAAAATGTTTCAAACTTTTTTTTAACTGTTAATCTTTACATAAAAACGAAAATTTTATGATGGTAAATCAAAATTTTGTCTGCTATCTAATTACATAAATCTTTTATTGTATAAAATTAAACAATTTCATTCTGTTTTTATAACAATTTATAGTACGATAATTCAGAAAACATTTTACTCTTAATATAATAATACTGAAATTGAAGGAATTGAAATGCATTATTTTACTTTATTGACAGTATTTTTCTTCCAATTTTTAATCTCTTATTTAAGATAATCATTGTTTCCTATTTATGTAAGTTCTAGATAATTATTTACTTTATTTTAAGTTGTTGGAGTTTAGAATATTAAGTAACATTTTTAATCATATTCTAACGAATTTTGTAAGTAGTAAATCCAATTAAAAATAATTGATTCACATTTTCAATTTACCTAAACTTGTCTAAAGTTCTTTCTAAAATATTTGAGTGTTTATATTATTTTCTTCTGACTAAACTTCTATACCGCAAAAAATTATCGACTTGTGCCTAAAAAAATATAATCAATGATTCTAAATTATAAAATATGTTCACGCATTGTTTGGTTTTTCTTTTTGGTTACATTTATGTGTGCCAAAATAATGAAAATAATACATAATATTGCTTAAAAGTGCATAATATAGTATAAAAGTACATAAAAGTAAAACTATTACACAATTTTACATAATTTTTTTTTTAAAAAAAAGCTGTTTTAGTTATAACCAGAAAAAAATCAGCCATGAGAAGAGATGGGAAGGATTTAAAGATTATTTAAAATAACTGCCGTACATAATTTTTTTAAATTTCCCTGTGAGAATAATAAAAACATTTTAAAATCATCATATATAATCATAAGATGAGGTTTCAAATATGCACACTAAAATTAAGGTGGTTTGTTGAAATTTCGTCTTCAGTTGTTGTTTTTTTTATCAATAATCTCAATATTTAAAGCTTGGTTTAAGCAAGGAATTCAATTACATTAAATGATGAATTAAATCCAAATAAATCACAGTCGGAAATTTTTTAAACATGAATTCCACAACTTTCACAGTCATTTTGTTTCCTATATACGAAACTCTTACTTTTGAAAGGAACGTTGGAAGGCAACAAGTGATGCTCTTTTTTGTAAGTTACGGTACTTTTCCAATTACAGCATCAAGAGAGCGTGATTATTGAAACCTATATTTATTAAGTTATATTAAACTTTGAAAAATAATGTGAAGTAGTCGGATGAATACAATAGTAGTTAAACATAAGAATAATACACTGAGCTAAATTTAAATTGTATAAGATTTGTTCTTGCTCATTGTGTTTAGGAAGAATTATGATTCATTTGATTTCTAGTTTTTATTTATTTTTTTATTATCATTATTTTTTATGGATTCTTGTACTTCAGAACTAGTTGATTGGCGTACCCTGAATTGAATTTTTTAGATTTTTCATTGGGATTTCATGATTTCTTTTACATATTTTTCTGTACCAAGTGCATTTTTTTCCTAATTTAACTGCTTGGTACCCGAGTTTTGTCGTCAATTTTTTAGTTTGAAATGTATGATTAAATTAATGGATTACATTTAAATAAAATAATATAATTATTTCAAAGTAAATAAAAAAGTTTCCTTGACCATTTTCTATTAATTTTATTATTAATCATTGAATTTATTATGAACAAGAAAATTCATACATGTCCTGTTAATTTGAAAAACCAATTATATCATTACGATTGAAAAACAATTAATCATAATTTTTGAAATCTTTGTGCTATTAATGTATTTATTACTTCTGAACATGAATTATAAAATTTTTAAAGAAAATTGAAAATTGAGGAATATATACAGTAACTACATATTTTTCTTCGATATTGCTCTTGAGGGTTCAGTTAAATTAGATACTGTACTCAAATAAATGCAAAATCAGATTTGCACTTCATTTATTATCAAAGCATGGCATAAAAATGAAATGCAAATCAGGTGTTTCATTTCTTAAATCATTCTCAATGCATATATATATATATATTCNAATTCAGTAAATTTAATTCAGACCAAAAGAAATACTAGAATTACAATAGATATCATACAATATAAAAAAATGAAACAAAACTTTGAAGCCATAATAGTAAATCCTTTTTGTTTTAAAGTCGTGTTAAAAATAAGCTAAACAATTCATAAAAAGCGGATATTTATGACTTTTTTCTGTATTTTTATCGTTAAAATTTTATTTAATTAATTTGTCTATATTTCTGAAAAATAAAATTTTTAGGAAAAAAAAAACTTAATCTTCATTTTTTTCACTTAACATCCTTTTTACTCTAGTAGTTAGTAGTTCAATGTTAGAGAATGAACCTTAATTAGTAAAAGTTTAATCATCAATTCTTATCACCAAGAAAATACCATACAGTTTTGTTACAATGTAAAAATGAGATTAACACTTAAACTTTAATATTATAAATTTTTCCCTAAAATTTTAGAAGGATAAAAAATAGAAGAAAACCCTTGGGAAATATTTTCAATTTTTATTCATTCTTTTTTTTAGTTTAGAGTTGCTTGATTACTTTAATTAACTTGATTGATTTGATTAAAAAATAATGAATAATACAAATTATAAAACCTATAAAAGCAATAAAAATAAACTTATTACTCAATAAAGAATAATATTAAAAATTTCAACATTAATTGTTAATAGTTGTTCATTCTGTTCCTCAAAACAATAAAAAAAATTAAAGAAAAATTAGAAAACCAATTTTTGAAAACAATTTAGAATCTTAGTATATGAACCCAGAAAATAAATAAAAGAAAAAAGCATGATCAAAAAATTAAATAATGTGAAAATACACACATTAAACAACATGAAAATGTATTATTCAATCTCCAGCTCTAGTACTGTCAAAGATTAAAAAAGAGAAATGTTTACTGATTGGGAGGAAAATAAATCTCTCTAGATTTGAAGATAAGGATCCTGTTTCCATATCCACTAATGATAAAACTCTTCTCTTCGATACAAAACTGTACTTTTTCCTAGACATGTTTAAAGAGCTCTTGCTTCTTTTCTTCTTAATGATGATTTTACTGAAATATTATATTATTGCAATCAATTCTGTGAAACACTTTCCCTGACGCTTACTAAACTGACATTAAATGTATATTTTTAGTGATAGTTTTACTGAAATATTATATTCTTGCATCCAATTCTGTGAGACGCTTTCCCTAACAGTTACCAAACCTTCCTTAATAATAGATTCTTAGTGATGGTTTTACTTAAATATTACATTCTTACATCCTATTCTGTAAGACGCTTTCCTTAAAAACTACCAAACCTACCTTAATAATAGAGTCTTAGTGATGGCTTAACTTAAATATTATATTCTTGCATCCAAGTCCGTGAGACGCTTTCCCTAACAGTTACCAAACCTTCCTTAATAGTAGATTCTTAGTGATGGTTTAACTTAAATATTACATTCTTACATCCAATTCCGTGAGACGCTTTCCTAAAAAACTACCAAACCTACCTTAATAATAGAGTCTTAGTAATGGTTTTACTGAAATATTATATTCTTACATCCAATTGTAAGAGACGCTTTCCCTAACACTTACCAACTCTACCTTCTCCAACACTGCTTTAATATTAGATTCTGAAATCTAGATCAGAAAAAAGATGTTTTCAATTTTATGAGAGGCTTCCATCTTATTCTGATTTTAAACATAAATACTGCAACCAGAAACGTATAAAATGTTAAAATATTGTGATTATTTTTTGTTTTTGTTTTTTGAAGAAAAAAAAATGTTTTATAAATAATACTTAATATATCTCTCTCTATTTAATTGGGATTTTGATAAGGTAGTAGAAACCCGAATTATATTTAGTTCCATCATTGAAGAATTTAAAATATGAAAGGAATCCAGGAAGGAAGTAGAATCCAAAAAAAAAAGAATTTATGTTCGAATAAAAAACCACCAATTTCGTTAGAAATTCTATTAAAATTTATAGTTTTCACAATTACTAAACTTTTAGTTTCTCTTTCCTTCCATTTTATATGTTTTGAAAGCTTTTATTATTTCGCAAAATGATTTACAAAAATTATCTTTTTCTAGTTTATTAAAACACCATAAGTCTCTTTTTAATGATTTTTATCACCTCTTTTAAATCACAAATACTTTTTACCCGATTAAACTATTAATTACTTAAACGAGAACAACAGTAAAGTTATAAAAATTCTTATGCATTTCAGATTTTTGTACGGATATTATACTTATTGCGTTAAAATATACATATGTTAGTTACAAGTAATCGTGATTAAAAAAAGAAAATAAGAGTTGTTATGCAGGATTTCTTGGATCTGTCGGAAAACCTAGTTATAGAGAATTTTTCGAAATATTTTTGCCTTATCTTGTAAGTTTTTTTTTTTTTTTTAAACATTCCAGCTTTTTTAGTGAAATATATGAATTTTAGGATAGATAAGATACTAAATGCATA